AGGGAGAGCCGCCAAGAGCCTGAAAGCACGGAGCTTCTTAGTCATGCTTTTGGGGGTCGTGCCCAGGTGCTGTCGGGGGAACACCGGGAGATTAAAGTCGTGGTGAGGGTGACTTTTGCAAAGGGAAGGAGCGGGGGAGTGATGTGGTTGGCTGGGTGCGGACGGGGAAGGTACGTGTTGACGGGTCAGTGCGGCAGCAATCTTTGATATGACGTACGAGCAGAGATATGGCAGGCTACAGATTACATTAATGGTGATATTGATTGGAAAGACGGCATGTTATACTATGATATACTCGCGATGTGATTCTGGCCTACATGTTATGCCCTAGAACTGACGGTTCTTACGCTCCGCAGCACCTCCTTCAGGCGGTGCCAGGCGCTCTAAGTGCCTCCAAGCCAGCAGCTCCACCCACTTTTTGATGATCAGCTCCCAGTTCTCCTTGAGCTCATTGAAGGGCTTGTAGTTATCCAGTGCAGCTGCCAGCACTTCAGCCTCATGTTCCAAATCAATACCGTGCCGAGTGAGCTCGTTCCCGTAGTTCAACTGCGCGTACTCGTGAAGTAGTCTATCAAGAAGGGAATGGAGGTCTTCTTCAAGCTCTAACGGGGTAGTCATTAGCTTCAACGTGCCTTTAATTTGAGCGAGGAGCCCGCAGACGAAGGGGTTGCAGGCGAAGCTGGCTAAGAGCGTGTTTGCGGCACGCGCAGTGTAGTGTCCAGCGACGCCGCCGAGGGCTACAGGGTCCAGGAGCTGGTCCTCGAACATAGTGTAGACGTGTTGTAAAATGACCTCAGCCTCCTCGCCTACGAACGCGATCAGGTTATTCATGACCTCCGGCTGCTCGCGGATCTTGTCGATGCGCTCCCGGTCGTAAAACTCGTTGTCAAGATGGAGGTTCTGCGCGAGGGGTGTAGGCTGCTCGAAACCGACGATACGGCGGCATGACGGGTGTGGGCATCGTACGAATTGGTCGTTGACGGCGTGGAAAGTCTTGGTGAGGCAGTCGCGGCAGTGGAAGTCGTCGCTCTCGTGGCAGGGCAGATCGTAAAGTGGGACGGTAGTTGACTTGCAGGACGCGCAGTTGTCGCCGGTAACACCCATGAGCTGGGGGGCTGCGATTGAAGGAGTGGTCATTGTGTTGCGGATTTCCCGTTGTGGGTTCGATGTGATGGGCTCGGGGTGTTGCGTTTGCGTCAAGATTGCAATGTTGGGTAAGTTGAGACTGGAGTGGATTCTGAACCATCACAGGGAAGAATTAGATATAATTAAATAGATCCGCCTACATTACTTCGACCCAATGTTAAGATCGGCGTTGACAATGCCACAATGGATGTGACGGCCATTATGCAACCTTCACGGCGTCTTTGTCGACTGAGAACGAAGCTCAGCTTACGACGAGACAGCGTTAGGGCAAAATTGCGTATAGGGGCATTGTGCGGGAATTGACAAGAAGAAGCAACGGCGCCGCTGCGCACAGAGGCTCTGACAGAGCGGCTGGCTGTTCTGGTAATTGGATTTTGAAGACGGCGACATGAGATCCGCAGGTGCGAAAGCCGAGGATATCAAGAATCTGAAGAAGATGATAGACATGAATCATTGACGAAGAAGACAGCGCGTGGTGTGGAGAAATGGAGTTGAGGACATGAGCCAGATGACAAGTCAGAAATTGCGCGAGGCTACAGAGATTCATTCGTAGACCGTAGAAGCCACTCGGCATCATTACCGTCGTTCGCGAGAGTTAGAGATTATAGAACTTCAGGTGGAATGCATGGTGTACGATGGCCGGATGACGCTGTGCGCGACGTGCGGAGGGCGATCACGTGGTCGATGAACAGTCCATTGCAAAGGACAAAGCTCCACAAGATTCAACTGTGTGGTTAGAGATACCTGCCAAAACGCGCGCTCTTTTCGAAGAGATGTGTGATGCGGATGAAGGTCTGATGTTAGCAACAAATTCCGTGGCTCCTCAGACCCCTGACATGGCAGCCGCGCTAAGATAGGACGAGATAAGTGCGTGACGCCATCGACCTCGGTGTCCGGCATAGCTCCGCGCAGCTGTCTCTTATCTCGACTTCCATCTTGCATGCCTCTGGCCAGGTGTGAAAGAATCCTCTTGTTTGTATATGCAGCTCCCGGCGAGCAATGAGAAGCCAGCGACAATGGCCGACGAAAGCACCCCGCTGATTCAGCGCGTCGATGTCCGACCCCATCGCGACCGCTACCCACACCATCGCCTTCGATTTGTATGCACGACTTTGCTGAGCGCGACGATAATCGCTGGAGGACTTGCTGCCGTCTTCCTTTTCGCCTTTGCGCCACCCAATCAAGACGAAGTAGCCCCTGCATCACGATTCTCGGCATCTTCCTTATCGACCTCACAAATACCCGACGGATGGGCGCACAAGACGGCCCTGGACTTCGAAGGCCTCAAGGCGGCGCTCTTGGAAACACCCAGTGCTGAAAAGGCAGAAGAATGGAGCAGATACTACACCAGCGGACCGCATCTCGCCGGAAAGAACCTTAGCCAGGCGCTGTGGACCAGAGAAAGATGGCAGGAATGGGGTGTCGAAAGCACCATCGTTGACTACGACGTCTACATCAACTACCCCAAGGGCCATCGGTTGGCACTCATGGAGAAGATTGGCGACAAGGAAGACGCGGCTGACAGCACGACAAAGCAAGAGTGGAAGGTCAAATACGAAGCGCGACTGGAAGAAGACGTCTTGGAGGAGGACAAGTCAAGCCAGCTCGCAGACCGCGTGCCAACCTTCCACGGATACAGCGCCTCTGGCAACGTGACAGCGCCTTACGTATTCGTCAACTACGGAACGTACAGAGACTTTGAGGAGCTACAGGCGGCCAACGTCAGTTTGGAAGGCAAGATCGCATTGGCCAAGTACGGGGGCGTCTTCCGCGGTCTCAAGGTCAAGCGCGCGCAAGAGCTGGGCATGGTTGGTGTTGCCATGTACACCGACCCTGGCGATGACGGGGAGGTCACCGAAAAGAACGGCGTTGCGACATATCCCGACGGACCGGCCAGAGAACCCAGCAGCGTCCAGCGAGGAAGCGTTCAGTTCTTGAGTAAGTTGTCACCCATCATTCCGTCGTGCCATGCTAACAAATTACAGGCTTCGCGCCAGGTGACCCTACCACTCCAGGCTATCCCTCGAAGCCTGGCTGCCCTCGCCAGCCCGTCGACCACGCGATGCCGCACATCCCATCTCTTCCCATCTCCTACCTCGACGCGCTTCCCCTCCTCACAGCCCTCAATGGCCACGGCCCGAAAGCCTCATCCTTCAACGAGCACTGGCACGGCGGCGGCTTGGACTACAAGGGCGTGGAATATAACATTGGGCCCTCGCCAGACGACCTCGTGCTCAACCTGGTCAACGAGCAGGAGTACGTTACGACGCCCTTGTGGAATGTCATTGGAATCATCAACGGCACCATTCCCGATGAAGTCGTTGTTCTCGGCAACCACCGTGATGCTTGGATTGCCGGAGGCGCAGGAGACCCAAACAGCGGCAGCGCAGCGCTCAACGAGGTCATCAGAAGCTTTGGAGCTGCCATGGAGGCTGGCTGGAAGCCAATGAGGACAATCGTGTTCGCGAGCTGGGATGGAGAGGAGTACGGCTTGGTTGGTAGCACCGAGTGGGTCGAGGAGTACCTGCCCTGGCTCTCTGGTTCCACAGTCGCATATCTGAATGTCGACGTTGCCACAGCAGGCCCGAACTTCAAGCTCTCAGCAGCGCCCTTGATGAGTAATGTGGTCGAGGAAGTCGGTAAGCTTGCTGTCATACCCTGTCACTCAGCCTCAGCTAACATCTACCAGCTCGTATGGTCATGTCCCCGAACCAGACTGTCGCTGGCCAATCTGTCTACGATGTTTGGGACAAGCGCATTGAGACGATGGGCTCTGGCAGCGACTTCACCGCCTTCCAGGATTTCGCCGGCATTCCATGTATTGACATGGGCTTCGGCTTTGACGCCAAGTCAGCAGTCTACCACTATCACAGCAACTACGATTCTTTCGACTGGATGAAGAAGTACGGCGACCCGACCTTCGAATACCATGCCACCATCGCCAAGATGTGGGCGCTCGTAGCAGCCAAGCTCGTCGAGACACCCATCCTACAGCTGAATGCTACAGACTACGCGGTCGGCCTTCAGGCCTACGTCGACGCCGTCAAACGAAAGGCCTTCGACGCTGGTCCCCCAAACAAGGACTCCAGCGAAGTCTTCCAACCTCTCGATGAAGCCGTCTCTCACTTCCTCTTCGCGTCCATCCTCCACGACGCCACGGCCGCCGACCTCGCAGCGCAATACGAAAACATCGGCGACATTCCCTGGTGGCAGCCCTGGAAGAAGGTGCAACTATACCTCGCTATCCGCGGCATCAACACAAAGTACAAGTACCTGGAGAGGAAGTTCCTGTTCCCGGACGGTCTCGACGGCCGAAGCTGGTTCAAGCATGTCGTCTTCGCACCTGGGAAGTGGACGGGCTATTCTGGTGCCACGTTCCCTGGCATCGTTGAGGCGATTGAGGAGGAGAGTGAAGAGGGCGTTGAGAGGTGGGTTGGTATCGTTAGTAAAGCTATTGGTAGTGCCGCGGACTGGTTGGAGGAGTAGGGGTTGGCGTGGACATTCACTTTATACCCGTTGTAAGTAGGAATACGAGGATGCCAGGACCCTACATGCCGCTCGTCATGCTGTGATACGAAGTTTATAACACGGCGTGAGGCATACATGTGGCTTGGAGATGGGCAGCTGATAGGTGCGTAGGTAGTCTTTAGGTATACACATCACTGGCACAGAGGAGATCAAGACGGCATGATATGGCGAGGAGGAAACGGTCTATTCAATGTTTTCAAATCGTATGGCCTAGGGCCCAAAGTTTCCGCCCGAGGTCATCTTGTCCCCGAAGGGCAGCCAGCCGGCGAGGGCGCAGCAGGCGAGGGCGCGGGGACGAGGGGCGCGAGGAAGGGGGGCCGGGGGCTTCAAGTCTCTGTTTACACGTTAGCACTATTCCAATCGAGTATAGTAGAATGTAGTGTCGATGAAGGCATTTCGCCAATACAGCTTCAAATGCTACAACACCTGACTACCAAGAATAGGTGAAAGGGATAAACTTACGTTGGAAATTGGCCTCGAGGGCCACAGCCAGCCGGTACGCTGGGATGAACACGGCCAGCCCGCGCCGGTGCTCGCGAATCTTGCGCCGGAGCGCGATATCCTCGTCGACCGTAAAGGTCCCGCACTGATGGTGGCGGCGGCGGGCAGCCTTCAGGAAGGCGATTTCGCGGCGGCAGAGGTGGATGGCGCGGGCGTATTCCCACGAAGCAGGCATTGTGGTGGTGATGGTTTGGTATGATTTCTATGTATATCTATGTTAGCTACATGTACTCTAATACTGTGCTTTGAAGCTGAAATAGAAGGCTCAGAAGAATACATACGGATGTGGGTGTGTGTTTGGGTTAAGGAGCAAAAGTCAGTCAGAGACGCGGATTTGTACCTACCTACCTTGCTCCCCCTCCTCACACTCACATTTACGCTTTGGGAAGAGGAGCGGGGGAGGAGATTTCACCGTGAGAAGCGGGAAATTGCACGTCGCTCGGTGAGGAAACAGTGATGGTGCAAGTTTTCTCTTCCTTTGGATTTTCGTCCTTGGTGCGTTCAGTGCCACTCTAGCAGGCTCACCTTCACTTTTGCGGCACATGGGAATTGAGAGAGTTCGGAAGAGTTGCAATTTCGATATCTACGCAAAAGGAACCAGTAGATACTGTAGGTTGTGGCGTACACTGCGAGTTTCATGCTGCGACCAAGTCCTTCACACAAGCCATCTACCGAATACACCCCAATTGAACCCCGTCACAAGCTTCAACTCCAGCTCCACGTCGTCTTCGCGCTCTATCATACGCCCAAAAAGCCCCAAGTAGAACCAAAATGTAAGCTGCTACTATTGATGCCAAGACCATGATGAGGCTCAAGACACCCCTTGTAGCGCTCACCTCAACTGCCCATCTATGCTCGGAGAGCACGAGGATAAATGAGGTATCTTGATCTTGCGACACGGCCTACCACCGTTCTTATGGAAGAAGTACGGTGGACTGTTGACGTGCCGCTGAGAAGCTGGACTACGATGAGCAGCCAGGGGATCTGTTCAATGTGAGTAAAGAGTGACTGAAATGAAGAATTCAAATGGAAAGGTGACTTACCTGGCAGGTTAGCTATGATAAAGTTGATATTTAGCCACTAGTTTAAACCTGACCGAGTAGGTTGAGCTCAGTCAAGTCTTACTACAAAGGGCAGATGCCACCGTCGAGAACGCCATGTCACTTGCCGTAACGAGTACGGAAAGAAAATGAAAGAGGCCGTCGAGTGACACCAGAATTTCTTCGGCGCGTGGGTGTGTAGCAGCGCCATGGAGAAGGCAGAAGCTACGTGCCCGTGCCGCAATGTTGTGCAAGTACCAGCTTGTGAGGCTGTACTGCTACTTATGTCAAAATGCCGTGCGGCTGATGTGTGTCCTGATCTATCTCTTTCTGCCTTGTATGCGCAAGCCGGCGTGGCTGAGGTTGCGTTCGGGGAGGACGGTGCGGAGGAATCGCGCGCGTTGGTGGGGGAGACGCCGCCGTCGTAGACGTCGAGAGACTGCTTGACATACATCTGATCAGCATGGTTCGAGGAAATGTTCGTTTGGAGTGGAGGGAGCAGAGAGGCATCAGAGTGATGACGTAGTGTCTTCAATGAAGAGTTCAGACTATCAGATACCATTGTGGCGTCACCTCTATCTCATCATCTGCCGATTGTGAAGAGGACAGGATGTAGACGTACCGTAGTTGAATCAATCGCGACGTTCAATGTGATTCGCGTTTTGAGGATGGCGTCCGGTCTAGTTGAGCTCTCAGATGTCAGCGAAGTTCAACAGCGGAGAGCAGCAGAAAGAGGGGGACGAGTCTCGTCAGAAACGTAACCCAACGATTAGTACCCTCATGTTGAGAAGCGACCTTGGAACGATTCGGGAGTTGGGCGGTTGGTCATCTTGCGAGAAAGTAGGGAGTGGACGCGCGCTTACGTACCTGATCTGATCGGTCAAGAAGCAGAAGTTGCTGAAGTTGTCAGCTGAGCGGACAGTGTAAACTCACTGCGGTCCTGTGTAATGGTTAGCGGATGCTCATCGAGTAAAGGAAGAGCACGTGTGGAAAGAATTGGGGAACGTCAGCTGGAATGAGTACGATGTTGTCATCAACGGACTCAGACAATATCGGTGGTATCATCATGGTATCGCTAGAGGATAAGGAGAGGTTGACTTACCGTTGTGGTTTCGTGTGCCATCGGAATTAGCAGCAAAGAGACGATGCAGCCGCTGTCTTGGTACTTCTGAGTATAAAAAGAGATCAGCGAAATCCAGGAAACAGACATGGAGGATGGTAAGAAGGGGTGTTGGCAGATCAAATTATCAGCATGGTCGAGTGTGTCTTCGTACTAGCAGCTAAGGAGCTCAAGGGTTTTACGCCGAATTCCGTTGCAACGTTCCTCAAGGGAGGTGGTTCGAGAAGCTAAACCACAACCCGGTTTGTTTTCATGGTAGCAGTGGGTAAGGGTGGGTAGTTGGCACTTACAGGTATGGGGCGCAACATTCGTGCGGACACTGCTCTTGTCGACCCGGTACCCAGGCAAAGGACGTAGGGTTGGCCGAGCTGGACCACTGCATCTCGTGTGGAAGGGGAAGTGGCGGACGCCATGTCTAGATACCACGAAAGATTAGCGGATATCAAGGACTAGGAACGAAACATGTGGAGAAAGAAGCCGGCGTATCAAAGAAGATTAGTTCTGTCTCTTTGGACAGCTGCTGGAGAGCTCAAGGCTGTTACGCCGAGCTCCTTGCAGCGTTCCTCGACGGATCAAAGAGAAGCGTTTTCTTTGAAACTAATCGGGTTGATATCATTGCAGGGGAGGGTGAGGGGAATGGAGAGATAGAACTTACTGATTTGCAAACTGAAACCTGTAGTAACAGCTCGTGCTGATGCGAGTTATCGAGAGAGGACACAGTGCTTAGACGAGGGCGACTTAGCTGCTGCCCGTAAGGTGACAGTAGAGTATCCAGTCGAACAGGACGAGTGCGGCGATAGTCTTTCCTCTGGGGCGAGGTGCTGAAAGCGGAGGACTGCGAAGAGATGACACAGATCAATTAGCGAATGCCGAAAAATCTGAGGTAGAGTTGAATGGGACGAGCGATGTAATGGTTCAGACTGATCTGGAATCTTCAACATGTCCCCCTCCGGAGAAGCTAGAGAGGCTGCTGAAAGCGACCATCACCTAGCGACCAGATTATATAGGAGGGGCAGTTTTGTGGTAGCTCAGAGGTGTAATCATAAACGTGTGACGAGCGAGCAGCGAGTGAGAACTTACCAATCCGAATGCGCACGAGGAATTTGTGTTCTCCAATGTTCGGAAGCGGGGAAGATAGTAGTCTGAGCGATATCCCGACGCGACAGCCTGGCGTAGCTCGAGGTCGCCTCGAGAGAGCTTGCAGAGATGGTGTGGGACTTAAAATAGCTGTCAGCATACGATCTCAAGAAGATTTCCGGCGCGATGCGTGGGTATGCTGTCCATCAGAAAGCTTGTTCTATCATCAACTGCGAACCAGCCACAGAGTAGCGGTTCTACGTGTCTCAAAAAGTGTAGGTTCTGCCAACGGCAGGATCATCATGGGCGGTGGGGGTGAGCAAGAAGAGGGGAGGACATACAGAGAGTGAGTACCCAAACGCCGGGAGGCAGAGTATCGATGTCAGAAGCTGCTGACTTGAGGTGACGCGCCGCTGGTGTGCGTCGCGGTCGAGTGACTGTTGTCGCTCCCGTGCATGCGGAGGTTGACACTGCCATCTCAAAGGACCAGGAAGCTGTGGAAAAGATAGACGAAGGTGCTGATAATGTAAAATGGGTGGAAGAAAATGCAAGGGAGAAGGAGATCATGGGGTGCGAGTGTGTTGTGGGATAAAACGGTGAGTAGGTGGGTAAGGACAGAATTGATCAAGCTTGTTGACGTAGCGACGACAGCACTAAGGCCACGCGCGTTTGCCTGGAGGGAGATTGCAAATTGCGCGTCCCCAAAAGTGAAGGGGACCAGAGGAGACGCCCTGACGGTGCAAAATTCGACTGCATCATGTGCACTGCTAGCCTGATGAATTTGAGCCGTCGAGATCTCAGATGCAAGTTGAGATTACGTGTTGAGTACATGGCGAGCTTACGCATACGAGTGCGCGCAATTGCGAGGTGACTTAAAGAATTCCAGGTCGAGGGACCTCCACGTTGCTGGGCTGGACCTATTGTGACTCGACGGGAATTTGCATGCTGTATACGTAGACCATATTGAAAGCTTTAAGCACAATAGCAATGGATGTAGCTCTCTGCGGACAGTCTGATATCTATTGTCCGAATTCGTTGCTATTGACGTGTTGCGCGGGCCCAAGTCCTATATCTTCTCGTCGCTGGACTTGATCGAACTCCAGCACCACCAACTCCTCATACAGTAAGTTTTGAATTCCAACTATCATTGAGATAGTGCTACACTGCATGAGTATCATGATAATCAAGGCTGACAATTGCGACAGACTCAACAAAACCTCACCAACAACCCCAAAACCAACCCCACACCACCCAAACCATCACCATATCACAATGGACAACAAGTCAGCCTCCTATTCGCTGGCCCGGATGCACTGGTACTTGGGAGTCGCTGCGCGTGCGCGAGAGGAAGTTCCGGCCAACATGGGCCTGTCAAGGGTCGCGACCAACTTCGCGTACAACTACCTCCAAATGTACTTGAGGAGGATGAACGAGGAGGAGAAGGAGGAGCAAGAGAGGGAGCAGGCTGCTCGCGCTGAGGCCGAGGAGGTCAGGCGCCTCCAAAACGTGAGTATTCCCATCTTTGTGTGTTTTTCGCTCGTCATTCCAAAGTTGTCACAATGCTGACTTTCTACTTCTAGTACTGGAATCGTCTTCGTCCCGCCGCCCGCGACCGCGCCTTTCGCCGCGCTTTCCTCCGCACAAAGCTGCAAGGCCGCCGCCGTTAATTCGGCATACACGTTCTGACAGATCTGGGTTCGGAGCATAGCGAGGGCGTTGGGGCGTTGGTGTAGATACACCACAATAAGACACGATTCTGCACTTTCTCCATCCAATTCTTGTAACATCCTGGCGTGACTCAATCCATTGACGTGTTCCAGAGCTTCTGGCACGATGTGATTTGCGAGCTACTGAGTACTCTGATGCTACAAACAGCCCGCCAAAAAGCCACTTGCTGACGACATGGTCGTTACTGGGGGAGCCATATGATGTGAAGCA